TCCTCGGCGACCCGGAAGTAGCGGCGATGGAAGATGAAGATGATATCAGTATAGCGGGATTACCACGCTGAACGTTGACACAGGTGTATTTGGATATATAAGAAAAATTTTGGAAGCCATGCACGGCATTTTGTTGAGATACTTCGAGGAACCGGAAGTATCACTTCCAACCGCAGATGAAACATCTGATTGTCAGACGACTAAGGCGCCCTCTACCACTGGTTCGACTGCAAAGCGTTGAAGTTTATGCGTGATCGGGCGAATGTGCCAGTTGCTTGGTTACTTACAACAATTCACAAATCATTAGGCAGAGGCAGAAATGATCATACTGTAATTTCTTAGGCGGGTTTGTTAAATCACTGTATAATTATCAAACGGTACCTCTCTGACCGGTACTCTGCAGCTGTTGTACAGAATGCTGAAGTGGACAGCAAAAAGTAGCATGGAAATTTTGTACTGAATGGTTAAGTGAATAAAAAGAATTTATAGTTCCTTCGGTAATTATTTGGAATCAAAAAATGATTGTCCATCAAGCAAATGTTACTTCGAATTATCTGCTCTCCCTCGCTGTGCTCCTCTCTTTGCTGCTGCTCATCTAGACTCCTTGCATGTAGAATGCAATAGATTTTGTGAACATCTTTTAGACATTTGGCGACAGATATTTAGATCTTCGTGGGTGCCATACTCTCAGAATCTATTTGAATCTTTTCAGCATGATTGTATCTATCCGTTTCTAGCCAAGGACCAAAGCTCTGAGCAAGACCTTCTGCAAGTTTCTAACTACCTGCTTTTTCTGCATGTTCTTTTTCAGTTTGGCGCCTGAGCTTCTTACCTGTCTCTTGTCAGTTGAACTCGTCGCATAATGAAGATCTATGACGCGTATAACGCAATGACGTCTATTTCCACGTGTTATCTTATCCAGCGTGATAAGGTACATGCTAGCTAGACGGGTATTTGCGTTTTATACGTTTTCAAGTTTGACTGACTCACTACCTCAATAGAAGGACATCGGTCCCTCTGGGTTGGTAGCCTTACGTATGGTAATAGCATTATTGAATCTGCCGGAAAATGCATTTTGCGCAGTGGTTGCCATGCAGCTAAATCCACTGCTGAGTCGCTTTTAATCGTGAAGTAGGATTTTTCACTTATCTGACAGCTGACCGACGACCTCGAGCGCAATACGCAATCGGAAAATGAATAAATGAACGAAATAAAAACGAAGCAAGCAGCACAGAGGCAGGTGAATGAGAACTGCAGAGTTTATTACACTTCTCTACATATTCCATTGCATCGAAGTGCGACCAGATTTAAGAGAGTCAAAAAACAGCAAAGAAACAAATACAATGCAATGCAATGTGGCAGTGATGAAACACAACAAAACAGAAGGAACCGTCAACGTAAAGTGGCAGTAGGGGCGACAAGTCGGAAGTGACTGTTTGACGTAGAGTAGAGTACGGTGGCTAGCGATGCAGTAGCACACGCGACGCAAGAAAGTAGAAAGTAGAAAATGCACTAGAAAGATGCGAAAGAAACAAACAGTCGATAAATTGATAAACATTTAAACATCATATCACATATTCGACAAACAACATGAAACTGTGGGGAAAAATTTTCAAAGTCGTCATAGTCACGGTCAATAAACAATACGCTCGCAATGGTAACAAACCTGAGCAACAGTTCCAGTGATAACGAAAGAACGTAAATTAAACTAAAGCTTGACAAAGTAGACACCGCTGTGTCGAGCTGCGTAGCGGAACAAACGTGCGACACACTTGGCGGATGCAGCGAGGTAAAACGAAGAACTCGAACGGGTCGAAAGGGCGCCTATTACCGCAGGTCGATCGATGGGGCAGGACTTTTGCCTTAGCCCAGCTGGGTGATGACCGCCGTTTCGCGGTAGCGTAACGTCGAACAAGAACTAGTGATAAGACTGATACAGCACGTACGGGAACGGGAAAGCAGGAACCTAGTCAAACAAACAAGGGCCATCGTCGTTATTGTAGCTGCGACGATGACGACGACGAGCAGGGAGGCAGTGATGACGTCTGAGTGACCCCAATGGTCAGCCGCGAGTTGGGTATCGTCACGAACGACCTGAACGACGAGGAAGGCATCCAGACGGTGGGTAAAAAACCTTGAGGGATCCACGAGCACAAAATCTCCACTGCGCCGTTGTGCGTCGAGCTGGTGCGACGAGCCAAGATCTGAAACGTAAAAAACGACCGATCAAGGGGTCACATCATCGGTGAACGTAAAGAAGCGGCAGCAAACGCGACCGATCATCGAAATCTACCTTGCAATGGAATGTAGTCAGATTTTTCCGCGAGTTTCCTGAGCAATTAAGGCAAAAGTTACTATTGTTCATTCTACTTTTCACTAAACAACATCGAACGTTCTGCATCGTGTACTCGTCGAAGGCGTCGTTCGAAAAATCTAAAAAATCAGGCAGTTCTAAGTAAGATTATACCAGATAAGTTTCGTTCAAGCAATCAAGAAAAAAACATCCTTTTATGAGTACTAACAGTACTTTGAGGAGTAAGACGGTGGTTACTGTTCGCAAGGAATTTTAACAGTCATTTATAATAACAGAGCCTAGCCGTCATCGAAAACTAGGCGAAAGACAAAAATACCCTGTTCGAAATGTGTGTGAAGAGCGTGGACAGTAGAAAGTACAATCAAAAATGTTACCCCGGTTTCCTGCAAATAGTTTCGGTCAGATTCTGAAACAATCGGCTTGAAATCGAGCGAAAACACAACAATCTGGAAATCACACAGTACTCCATATCGTACAAACAATTGTCGAACGCCAACCCAATGAAGAAAAAAGTATTCATCAGCTAACCTCTGAGCTAACATATGTAAGGTGCGATATCTTAGATCCCCCTGAAACGAAGAGGAGCCATTAACGATAAGTTCAGCCTTACATACTGTCTGGAGTTGAATATTTTTCGTTCAACGTTTGGACAGGAATTGGACAGCTCGTGGTCAGTGCTAAAACCAGAACAAAAACAGTTACTAGTACTCCAAACGTTGTGCAGTTGCTGTCGCCTATTAGGATGGTGGGCTTTAATTGCCATCCTATTCGTCGTCTGCAGTGAGGGAGGAGGGTAAAATGGTGCTACGGTTTTGGTAACGGGTGCAAATGTGGATATAATAATCGAAAGTCAAAATTTTGTCCCTTAAAATCAGAGCATCTGCGAATGACACAAAGAATTGTTGCGAAGCCAACGCACATCTCTGCCTTGAAGAAGACGTGAGACACCGACAGAAACGTCGGTGCGCAAAATCAGCTGATTGACCATATCGTTTATGTTGCATATAAATAATATTTTATGCTGCTTGCCGTATGATCACCAACGCATGAATGAAGTACTCCATCTTCGGCTACAAAACTTGCAGCAGAATACACAGTGGGTCCAAAAAAGTTATGCACCGCATACGTTATTAGCAAGTATTGTGGTATAGCAATCGAAGCCAGATGAGCTAGTGGCAGAGGTATTCATTTATCGGTTCACAGTGAATGTCAGAAGGCAGTCACAACAGCAGAGTGAACACAAAAAATAGCATTCAAACACAACGATTCCAACAAATCCGTCTATGTTCTCATTGGACACTGGAGCGACTATTCAATACAAGTCGTTCTGTTGTTCCGGCTGCTTATTTGAAAGATCTACAAAGCAGTGTTGCGTATTATGGGCATCAGCTCGTTTCCACTTACAGACAGATTATTTAAAAAGCAGAGTAACAAGAATCGCCCAAGTTGAATGGGAAGTAGGAAGGAAGCAATTTTTTCCAGCCTGCACAATCTACTCAAAAAATAGGTCAGGGTTTCTTTGATGGAGGTATGTAATAGTTTATACAAAACGTTGCACATGCTTTCATGCAAAACAATTAGTCACTCATTAGAATATGCGGCATTAGATATGCTTTTAAAAATAAGGTAACTCTGACGATGACACTGAAAGGAAAACCAACATCAGTTCATTACAAGTTATATGAAAGATCTGCGTTCACAGAAAGACAGAAGAAATCAGCCTCTCAAAAAATTGCATGTTTCCTCAACGTTACTGACTACCTCAAGACAAAGCGAAGGACGCCATCGAATACATTCTGATATATCCTGACATATTCCAACCAACACAGTCGTGATCTAACGATTAGGACAAAGTAACGTTCACAAAGGAGGGTATGTCAAACTGCCGCATTCAAATGTTTGTTAAACCTCAGCACGCCAAGAATCATTTACAAAAGCCTCATGTCTGACGTTTGCTATGAGACTGGCCTGTTTCGGCTAAACTCCATCGCTTTCCCTGAAAAACCATATAAATGAATAACATATGTCCCATCAACGACAAACCATATGCAAATGACTAAATTTTATTATCATCACTTGGAATGAAACTTAGCTGTTCCGCAACCAGAAGGTAAAAATAGGATTTGAACATGGTACGGGTAGTTAGAAAACCGGATTCACGTTGGCATTTCCTTTATCTGAGAGATTAACAATAAAAGAAAGAATCTACCTCAAATCAGTGATTGGAAGCAGTCAGAATAATATTGATGGTACACCGACGTTTGGAATAACCCTGACGTTTCCGCCATCAGAATCTGTTGCTGTCATCACACTCATCTAAGGGCAGCAAAACTTGAACATGCTCCTGTCGCCCAGCCAGTAGCGAAGGTAGCAGACTCCGAAGAAGATTCTGCAGTCAAATGTATGGGTTTGCAACAGGCTAAAGACTTGTCGACGTAAACCTTCCGCATCGTCAAGACCATTATCGTTCCAACACGATTATAACACTTGTTGTGTATAAATAAAGACCTTCTCTCGCTACCAATATTCTTCCCACTGCGGAAAGTTTCTTCGAACTTATAAGATTAAGATAATTAATTTCTCTGAAGCAGAGATCTAACACTAGATTTTATGGCGTACTGTACCATGTACTTGCCCCCCCCCCCGTTACCTAGGAGGCCACTTAAACAGGCTAAAGCTTCATCTTGTTCGAGTACTGCAGAGCT